TATTCATCAATTGCCGTTTTATTGTTTGAAACGACAAAACTTCTTTAATGCCGTAGAAAAAACTCGAATAGCCTTCCTTCTCCAAACCCAATAGTAGATCAACTACTACTACTACCGACAAGAAGTAATGCGTCGAGCCCCCAGCACAAGCAAGACAACGCAAACGCGTTGCCTGCAAGCTAGTGTGTACCAAGCCGCGCTGCCGCTGGCTGCCCACTGGCGCCACTGAGTTAAGCCGGGACTAAGGCGAAGAAGGTTGTCAGGTAGCTTGTGGCCCAGGCACCCGCTCGGAGGCAGTTTGTGAGCCCCCGTTATTGCTTCCCCAGTCCCCTGACGCTGCCTTTTCTGGGTAACGACCAGCGGTGTTGGGCAGGCAGACGAAGGGATATGCGCTCGCAAACGGTGACGTGAATCGAGCGTGTTACGTTGCAATATTCTTTTCGAGCCTCAGCAATGCCAATCACTTGAGTCGCTTCTCGAGAATGATGAAAACAACGATGAAAAAGACGGCGAACGAAGAATTGTCGCTTCTCAAGTAGAGAAGTTAGTGCTAGGTATAGAGGTAGCGGTAATACTGGTACTGTACACAGCACACCGCACAGAACTGCAACACTAATACGAGTGACGTCATTTTTATAATAAGGAAAGGAAAAGAAGAGCTGCCGCGACGGTGTTTCCTTCAGGAGAGCAAGAGCGTACGCGCTGACACCTTCAAACGACCCGACATTTTGCTTTTCTACTGTATCCCTACCCGCGCATTCCCACCTCTTCGAGCTCCTGTCTTCCGCTGGATTCGGCTGCTTCGCCGCTGGCGTACCGTCGTCTACCCAAACACACGTCATCTGATCCCTAGCTCACTCTTTGAGCTCTCTAGGCTTTCTAACGAAAGCTCATGAGCTGAGTTCGTTGTCGAGGCGCAACAGTTATGACGCGGCTGATAGGACGACGGTCGCCATCGTTGACACGGGAGCGGCTCTTGCCAGCGGGGGGCTGAAGCTCCTAATGCACCGCAGACGTTAGCCCACAGAGAGGCTGGCTAAGAGCCACCTCGAGTACGTTGTGGTGACCAGCCATACACACATCCGGCTAGTCTTCTTCGTTTTCCTTCCATCCTAAAAGGGATCAATAGCGAATCAGCTACTTCTAGGAGTTTAGAGACTATAAAAAACGAACGAAGTAGTCATAGGAGCCCCACTTGCGAAAGAAAGAGGTACGCTGCACCGCACTGAACAGCAGCGGAGCCCAGCAATGGCTAAACACTAAAGAAACAGTAGAATTGCATATCAGCGACCAGCTCTTCTCCTTTCAACTTGACGCCTAGCAAAAACAAGAGCTTACGCATCAGGTGAAGTGGGTGGGGCAGAACAAATCTGAAGGGGAACAGAGAGCAGTAGCTGGTCACACCCGCCATTTGCAGAGGCCTAAAGGGGACTACCACTAGCCGCAGCAGAAGTCGCGATGAAACGATGACGCCAATGGTGAAAGCGTAGGGAGTAAGCAGTCGGTCGCAGTGGTGCAAAGGAGTAGCGAGGGGGAAACATGGTCTCTTAGACGATGAGTACGACGGACAGGCGGATGAACGGGAATACTTCTCCTCAAATGACTGGTGGCAGGGGTGGGCCATGGACAAGTCTAGTCGTACCAGTCGAGCTGGTTTCGGCCAAGTCGAAACCCGCAACTTATACAAAAGCCCACAGACGGCAGTGAGTGAGCTGCCAAATAAGATATTTGGGTCGTAAGCAGTCAGCAAGCTTCAGGCAGAGGCCGTCAGACAGCTGGTAGACTGGAAAAACGTCTCACTTTCGAAGTAATGAGGCTCGATCAGGACATAAGAAGTTTCACATGGATCACTGCCAGGAAGCGATGGCAACCCCGACTTTACTAACGCTGTATACGAATGAACTACGAGTGGAGTTGACTTGCAGGCTTGCCACCTTGCTGCCACACACTAGAAAAAAAAGAAAGCATCTACTTCTACACTTGTTGGTGTCTGAACAGCAACGAGTTCACACTATCAAGCTTCTTGCTCCTTTCCATCCTGAAAGGCAACTACCGCCTAGGCAGGATGGCTGACATCCTGCTTGACCCCCACTACCCGACGCAGCTCTTCCGATCAGCTAGTCTTAGGGCTTAGGGCAACACTCAGAGAAGGCCGAGTACGGGCGCAGCCAAGTCAGAATGCGCGACAGGATTAGCCGACATGAAGACATCATAAAGGCCAGCTATAGGATGCTGGTGGGGTACATCATTCTACACACTAGAAGCTAGCTAAGAGATTGGGCGAATACCTGAAATGACGAAACGAATGTGTCCACAACGTCCTTCATAGAGGCCTGCGTCTAGATACAAGCGGCAGTTACAATATGCCTAGTACGTCTTTAAGAATAAAATGAGCAGGAACCAGACAGCAGGTAAATAGGAAAGTTTGCCGCTAAGCTCGACCAAGTTAGTGGCTCAAACATGAGCAGCAGGGATTGATCAAATGGTGAAAGGCTAGTTGATATGGTTGACTCCTGAACGACTGCAAGGCACGCAGGACCAGTTAGCGAGACACAGCGTTGAACTGGATAACATGAGGGAGAACGCAACGACAGCGATAAAAATAATGATGCACACATTCAACCCAGTTAAATATGTGGGCTGGTGGGTGCCACTTTCGAGAACGATAAAAAACCTTTTAAGGAGAGAGAGGGGCAAATTCATGAACAAATTCATGAGGATGTCCCAGGAAGCCACCCCATTTCACACTCTATGCTGTCCACAAAGAAGAGTTGAATTGTGACAGCGAAGCCGCGCACAAGTGGAAACTGTCGCCGGCGAACAAGCAAGTCAGTCTCGGGGTGCAGCTGAAGGAACACAGGCTAAAGGTTCCGTTGATGCTTTACGCGAGATGAAACAGCGGCAATGTGCCGCGACGAGTTGACGCGTCGTTCAACGTTAATTCGGATGATACGTTCAGCCGTTCACGGTCGTCGAGTCAGCAACTCAGCCGTCAGCACCGATCTCCCTCTATCCCCTTCTCGGTAGCCTCTGGTGCGAACCATTCCAATAATCCTCTCGGGAATATTATATGCATTTATTTATGCATATTTTCTATTAGCATACGTCGAGCTAGCTAGTCGTGCAGCCCACACTGGCGGGGGGTACCGAACAGAGTACCCGAGCTCTGCAGCGCCGCTGGCCGCTTATCTAGATTCGCCACCATTGTCCGGCGTAGCGGAAACGTTCGCGCCTCGTCGAACTAAACGATATTTGAATCAACAATCGCTCCGTTTCACTTTTGGGCAGCCCCGAACGTGCACCGATAGCGCCAATATTCCGGTCAAACAGCCGATTTTGCCACAATTCCACTGCTCCAGTATCAGCATGTAACATCAGTACTAACCTTATACATCCTTTCATATAGGTACTAGCACCAGCGCTGTCGTCCTTGCCACTTACATGACGATCACTAGAATAGCTGCAGCCAAGAACTACAACTTAGACAGACTGAAAGGAACACATTTGGGCATGCCAATCTCCACCATTCGCAGCTTCTGTTCTGTGTCTGCCCAACTCGAGGCTTAGGCGAAGAGCTACTTCTCGATCCCCCTCACCCTGTGGCCGTCTCTGACATGTTTTTCTCCCCAAAACACACACTTCTTTCTCGCAAGCAATGGCTTCGATTTTCAATCAAACGAAAGCGGCGACAGCAGCAACAGTTCGGTAACAACGGAGCTCCAGCAGTCGAACGACGACAGTGCTTGGCGGATAATAATAGCTTTTCTAACGAAATAGCCATATCAGGTTAGTGTTAGGCGGTTATAGGCCCTTTTGGCGTTATTATTTTTATTATTATTATTGTTATTATACTATGCTGCTCATGGCAGGAGCACTTTTCCTTCTCCGCATCGCTTGCCTCGACGAAGCGTGCGCATGTCCCATTTAACGAATGCGAAGCAGTAGCAGGTTGGTCGGCGGAAGATGTGTGATGCCACTAGGCTTATGTGGCAGTTGTTCAGCTCCACGGGAAATCTAGTTCTTTCGTCCCATTTCGATCGGCTTTCTCCATACAATAAACATTACCCATCTAGGTTTGCCCAACAGAGTCTAGACAGTTTAGCAGGAGACGGCTGGAGGTAAGCAGGCCTCTGCTCGTAGTGGCAGTGGCAGCAGTAGTGGCGCCGCGTTTATAAATGACCGCCACCGCTTTTCGGATGCGTTCCATTTCCGGTTTCCGATCACCTTGAAGTGGAGGCACCGAACGGCGGCAGCGGATCCTGCCGATTGCGCTTTAGAGCCCTAGGCCGACAAACAGGCAGGCCTCAGCAGACCGGTTGGAGGAAAAGCTGCTGGTATGTGTGCCAGAGAGGTGGATACGAAGGTAGGGGATGCGGTACGGTCGGGGGATTGGGACTACTGGGAAGGAGACTATCAGGCTCAGCCCTGCCTGCCGCCTGGGAAAACATCGGGATCTCATTCCGATGTTCGCCCTATCTCCTCGCTGTTTGGCCGGTGGAACCGTCTAGTGCAGCAGCAGCAGCAGCAGCAGCAGCTCCCAACGGCATCTGACAAACTGGCAGTCCTCGGACCGGCAGTCAGCCTGTTCTGCGGCCGTCAGCCTAGTGGCCCGGTCTTGCCTCCCTTCTCAACCTTCATTTTACCCATTTTACAAACCTTCGTCTTTCCCTGCACTTCCCTTTTTGCCCACAAGCAAACGGCCCTAACAGCACCCCTCACTTGACAATTTTATCAAGCATGATCTTCTTCTGCCCGTATCCGCGTCTTTTGCCGGCTCAGTTCATCTCGCTGCCAATCTCTTTCTACCACACAAAAAATAAAGACGCTGATGTTACGATGACATAGTGAAGGAAGCTTAATAGCAGTCTGTGCGCGTTCTAGCCCTAACTCCGTCGAGAAGATATACTAGTATATCTTGAATTTAATGTATACTTATAGGACGTGTCATGTGTTTTCCTTTATAATCGTCATGTCCTTTCTTGTTTTCGCTCTGAACTTACCTTGATGTATGTCTTCGCTTTAGTGAGGAGACCAAGGGTGGTATGGCGACTGGACTCAGGACCAACCGGAACAATTTCCTTCAATTTCTCCAAACAGTTCCGCAGATGTGCACGCCTGAAAATACGATCAAATCATACAAACCCGTACGTATGAATAGATAACAATGTTTACTTTTGTCCAAGTGAAATTTGTTGTTAAAGGCTAGTAATACACGACGTAAGTGTATTGCGACAGTGATAAAATACCATACATTGCTCTATCTAAGTGGCAGTGAGAAGGAGCACAATAAACCAGACATTTCTTAGCTGTCAGAAGTATTTTATATCATTGGATATATCTCACACATTCTTTGCTATCGTTATTACCACTACGGTTGCCGCTAATGTGTCGGAGCTAAATCATGATCCTGACACGCAACTCCGATGTGGTTCATCAGTTAGCTGGCAGACGATTCGCAGGACGAGCAAGTACCGATGGAGTCGACACTGGCCGACGTTAGAACTTGGGGTGACAACCTATTTTTGCACATACTACACCTTGTGATCAACACGTATTATTACTAGCCTTGGGACAATGTGGGGCGTGTTGCCCCGGCTCGCTGCTGATTTGTGTAAATTCACAGACATACAGAAAAGTAACCAGAGGTATAGATACGCTTGAAATTTTTAAATTTTAAGCTGTCAAGTCCTTGGCACATATCAGTTCATATCGGCAATCCGAAATAGAATTATATGTATAAATGAATCTAAAAGAATAGCAAGACTAACAGGGTGAAACAAAGGATCGTGGGGAAAATTGTCGGCAGGTGTTGTTTAATACTCAAGCCAGTTACCAAGACCATTATTTTTTTCGGAGAGTAAAAAATATATGGTTTGTTGCAACCATACACAATTACAGTAGCTGAGGTTATTATACTGGGAAAAGTTCGACCGATTTCAGTTAAAAAATTACAAGGTACAGTGTATGGGGCCGCCAGAGTAGCGTCAATGGTGCCTGTGGGTTAACTTGTTACTGGCATATTAGATGCCCCTCATTCAACGTCGCTAACAACTGGCAACTGAATGTAACTCGTACGAACTCCAGAATCAAAATTCCTGCAACAACGCATTGAGATAAGCTCATCTTGTTGCTTTTGTGATGCTTGCTTGAATACATTGTTTTCATCTTTGTCGGGTTTGGTTAGCTTCGCCGTTTTATTCTGTGAGACTAGCTGACGGGTGTGCAGATTGCTTTATGTTATGCCGCATAAAGCGGACCACGTACGCCTATGATTGAGGTGATCAGGCTTACAATACTTTTGAGATGATACCAGGGTTAAGTGTAGTCGCGACGGCGGCGTGGTTCCTGAAGCTCAGGGGACGTTTACTCGGTATGGCGGTTCCGAATCTCGGCGGCGGCGGCCGACGGTCGTGTAAGCGATGCAGCGGCTTGGATCATGTCGAGGGACACTAGCGATGCAGGCGGGCAGGCCACTTCCTTCCGGCAATTCCGTGATCTTTGTGGCTCTAGCGCAGAACGAATAAGGCCGTCTAAACGGAGCCTCATACACACCGTGCATCGCGTATACTGATTGTATTGCGTGTGTGTACGTGTGTGGATATACCAGACCAGCTTGTCTACTAGCCTGCCGGTTAGAGAAGACCCGACAGAGCGTCTCTGAATAGCGTGAACCATCCATTGAAAGACAGACGGGTGCGGTGAGGCTGGCCTGTCAGGCCGGGAGAGCTTTTTTCAGAGAAAGCCGAGCAGGCCAAACAGACAGGCCTGCCATCACGACCACCAGCGCCAATGCCGACACAGCCAAGACGAGCACCACCTAGGCTGACTCTCTGGTTACAATGATTGAATATAGCCTGCCTTTCTATGTACACTCATTTATAAAAAAGCAAGAGACTTCAATCAATCTTCAGCATCCCGACCAGTAAAACGCCAACTCTACATGAAGAAACCTGCATCGTCAGGCCCACGGAAGCCGGATGAAGTATAGGAGGTTTCGAGCGCCTTGTTGGCTCCATCCTATTCCAGGCATGCCCTTTTCTCCTGTTTCCTACCGTCACTCCTGTCCGGTTCGTCGTGCCGTTTTCTTTGACGCGTACTACGCGTAAAACAAAACTAACCGGTTTAACCAACAGACCCAACGGCTGCGTCGTTCCAGCTTGAAATAAAGGTACGCCTACACACACACGTAGCCGTGACCCGTTCGGTGTAGCTCTTTTTCACAGCGACTATTTGTAAATGCGCCACCGTCCCTTCATGCGCTTTCACTCTTGAGTTGGATATTTCATAGAAAACGACGCTAGAAAAGCAAATCGGATTGCCTAAGAGCCATATCTCACTGAAATACATGCACATCAATATCAGCAAAAGCATAAACGTTAACCAGTCAACAAGCGTTGTCGACGTACGCATTTGTTCGCCCACATATATCCTGCGGGCTGTTATGGGTTGCTTCAGGTAACAAAGTGACCTAAGTAGGTGTTTAATATGGAAACAGGGAAATGCAGAAGACTGCATTGATATATGCGTACAAAATTTGTACATAATATATTACGTAAGGTCCACAAAAATCCACAGCAGAACTTGTTATCTATATGCCTAAGCCACTTGACAGCTCAGTTGAAAGCCCACTCTTTCGCTCCTTCGAGGCGTCCTTTTTTAAGACCCCTTTACACTTTTGTTATTACCGCCTAGTGCTATTACGCAAGTCGGAGTTCTTCTATGCTTTTTGTAGTTTTGTTGTTGTTGTTGTTGTTGTTGTTGTTGTGTCTTATTGCTGGCTCTTGTGAACTGCTGAATTATACCGTGAGCATTGGCAGGTCCATAATAGCAACCTCAGTGATGACAGCAATGGCGGCAACAATAGATAGACGCCAGTTGCCTCTTTTTCAGTTTATGTCGGGCCCAGCCGATTGTCGATAAGATCGTTTCTCGAACAAAACGCCAAAGAGAAATGAGGCGAAGCCAACGGAATGACGAACCGCCCGGATAACTACTGTCCCAACGGTGCGCAAACCAAGGTTCCGCTTCACGCGGTCACTATAAAGTCCATCGTTAAATAAAGAAAAATAGATCCATTCCAATTTTAGCTTTATGTAGGTGGTCAGTGGTCGATGGCTGCTGGTTCGAACAGTTCGTTGAACAGTGCCCCTCCTCCTATCTAGTATACGCGCTCGTCTGCTCATTGCTGCCATTGGTGTCGCTGCAACATTTATGACAGCCTACGACATGGTCCGGGGGTATCATGTAACCAGAAGGTAGTAGGGCCGACGGATTTGCTATGGTTTGGCAAAAGCCAGAAGCAGCGTTAGGAACGGTAAACGAGGACGATTATGACCAAGCCCTTATGTCTGTGCACGTACGATGTCGACAAAACGATAGGCATAATAGGTTTTAAAAGCAGGTTAAGGTCCTTCTTAGCTCGATAGCCGACGGCCATACAACCACCTTGCATGTAGCTGCGCTGTGCCAAAGGACGCTACAACGATCCACACAGCCAGCCCAGCACCTATCCACAATCGCCCTCGCCGAGCTATGGTCGCCTAAGTTGTATCGAGCGAAAAAGCCCACAAGGCAGAAACGACCCACTATACGGACCCACTCAAACTTGGCTGATCAGCAGCTCAGCTTTGTACAACCGTCTCAACCAGAACAACGAATGAGCGTAATCCACTGAAATACTGGCGAAGCAGCGGCTATACTCTGCTGTCATCGGCAGTGTCTATCAGCGGCGCTGCCAAAGGCTAATGTGGCCTTTATCTTTCTGAGTAGCGCAACTGTCACCAAGCACACTCCTGCGTGTCATGCTTCGACTATCTACTTTCTGCTGCGAATAAGCTCCCATTCGAATGAGATCGATGGCTGCCAGCCACGGAACACCATGTGTGCTACGGGATCAGAGAAGACACGCTTGGCAATAACTTTGCTTGCACAGTACGCAGTGCCAGATAGTGCAAGCAGGCCATAGAAACAGTGGTGGCCGACAGAAACGGGACCGTGTGTAGGCCCTTCAGGAATTCAGCGAGGCCCCAGAGTCGCTCCGTTTCGAAGGGCACGCATAGACTATCTTGTCACTGCTAAAGACCGGTGCAAGGGGGCAACGGGTGTCACCCAATGTAACTGACTACGAGGAAGGCTTGGGCCTACATTGGTACGATTGATTACAGAAATTGACTGGCAATAGGATAAACATTTTGTAAGGCTAGTTTTTCTGACGGGAAGGTAGGTCTTTTCGGCTGCTGTTACTGTTACCACCTCCCGTTAGTAAGCGTATGCGGTTTGCTTATATCAAACGTAAATAATTCACAGGATCACGTGGAAGGGCAACTCCTTCCAGGTACCTACTATATACCGGCGCTGTCGCCTGTTGTTACTTTAGTAATATTTAAGCCTCATTACATACGACATGCAATAGCGATTGGCGGTAATGATTACTACTCGTAGTCGATACAAATCTCGATGTCCAGTCTACAGTTCCGGTGCGAATGAGCTTCTATGATTTATACATGTTTACTTTCTGCCACCGCGCGGGCAGCTATCTGCGTGCTACACGGCTGCAAGGCAGTGCTCGTTTACGGGGGGCATCCTGGACTAACGCAGCAGCCTTACGTTTGCATGCGTCATCAGACGGCTTTACTGGGTGGGCGGGCCACTTCTAGTTTGCCCCCTGAGTTCTGGCAGTACTAACAAGACGAAATGTGAAACGAAAGACGATGTGAGGCGTTGGCTATATGCCTCAGTTTAGCCAATAAACGTGCGACAGCCAGCGGCAGATATAACGGTCTTCAACAGTAGAATACAACAACCATCAGCAGCAGCTGAGCCGACGTAAACTCGCCATGGAAATGGCTAGTCGCGCGGGGTCGTCGGTTCACTATTAAGTCTATGGCAAGTAGGGTTAATTTATTCAACTCACCTCACTGTAAACTATGAAGTTCAGTTGGACGGTGGGAGGGGGAACAACAACGCTACGCGTTCGAAGCTTAGGCATAACGGTATGGTTTGTAAACGCCACTGACGCCTGCCCTTCCTGTGATGATCGCTTTGCGTTCCAAAACAATGACAAAATATTCGATCAAAACATTATTAATATTTGATGAAAACAGTTGATACCAAAC